GGGTTTTACCTTTCTAAAAAAAGGTTCTGCCGGGGGGTCCTTTACATCCTGCCCAAAAGGGCCCAACTTGGTTTTTTTTCCAACCCTTAGACACCCCCTTACTTTTTTGTAATGGCTCCCGCAACTATGGGTATTACTATATCGAATACCAAGCCTTTTTCAACTAGAGACCCCCTCGATCTCTCCGATTACTATTTAGAAGGTAGCTGCACCATTGATAAACCAGAGAAAGTCCCCATTACAAACAACAGCCAAATTCTTAGACCACCTTATCCCTTTTATTTAGCTCTTGATCTTTAAATCAATTAAAAATTTAATTTAAATTATTTATTTATCCTATTATATATGTATTTATTTATTAATAAATAAAGTTTCTCCAATTTTTAATAAAATTATTTATATTTAATTTAAAAATATAATTTATTTTATTTGCAACAATACAAAAATAAAAACAAATTTATAAATTTATTTTAAAAACTATTTTTTTTTTTTTATTTTTTATTTTTTCCAAATTTTTTAAAAAAAAAAATCGATCAAAAAAATAAAAACAAATTTATCAATTTATTTTAAAAACTATCTGTAAATAAAAAAAAAGTTTTAAAATAAATATATTTTTAATAAAAATTAAACTACAATCATAAAGTGTAGTCGATATAATTGTTTACTAATGATTCATTAACGATTCATTAATTGATTTATTCGGAATTTATTTTTTTTTAAAAACGTTACTAACCCCTGAAGGATTGATTTCAAGTTTTAATTACCTATATTTATTAATATTTTAAAAAATATATTGAAATATAATTTCTTCCTTTTTCAAAATTATGTGATTCTAATTCAAAATGTGTAAAAATGGATGTTGATAAATTGGTAAATCTTCGCCAAATCTAAAATATATTGTTTTTTTCTAGATATTAATAAATAAAGTTTTTTATTAATAACATAATATAAAAATATTTTTATATTAATATGATATTATTAATATATAAATATATATTTTAAAACTAAAACATATTATTTTAAATAAAAGAAAATTTATAAATATCAAAATAAGAATATAAAACCAAGTCATAAATATATATTATTAATGTAATAATTTATATTAATAAATAAGAAAAATTTCCCAGGCCAAAAAAAAGTTTATTTTTTCATAGTTTTGTGTGTTTTTGTGTGTTTATGTCTATGATTTTGTATTTCTGTGTTTTTATGATTTTTTTAATAATTTATATATTTTATAAAATAAATCTTTTTTGGAAAAAGTTGGATGATAAGTTTTGAACTAAAACAAACAATTTTAACAATTTAAAAAAATGGATATTATATTTTTGTGATTTGATTTATTTGTTTTAAAAAGATAGTATTTATTTTGGTAATAAATAGTGGAAATTTTTTTATTTTTTTTTTTGAATTTTGTGGCAGTTTAAGTTTGAGAAAGATATTTTAAAACACATCTTTTTTTTAAAATATCTTTCTCTTTTTTTATTTCTTTTAAAATTTTTACGAAATAATATTATCCACGGGGAATATTTTTTTTTTTTTAAAATTATGATTTTGGTTACTCAATAAAACAATTTATTTTTATGGTAAACACAACCCATTTACAAATACAATATCACCATTAATCCAAAAAGTTTAGATCTTAAATATGGTTTAAAAGTTACAATTTTAGGAAAATGTGATACGGTGTAAAATTTACTATTTATTACCTTTATCATTAGCTTGGTTTGAAAGATACTCACATGCTTTGGTGGCAACTGTTAAGTTTAAATGATTCCGTTAATTTTTAAAGTATAAAAAAAGGTAGCTATTATTATTTGAAAATCACCATATTAAAGGCAATACTTAAGGGCAACACTCGCTATCCATTTCTTTTAAAAATAAAAAAAATAAAAAAATAAAAAATTAAAAAAAAATTGGTTGTTTAAAATAATATTATTTTAATTCTATAATATGGAATAAAATTATTAGCAGCTCACCGTATTAACTGTCAATAATTACCTAGGTTTGTGGAAAGAAATATAATAGCTACAATTAAAAGAATAATTTAGGTAAGTATATTTATTTTATTTTATTTTATATATTTTATAATAAACAAATTATATTCTAATATGTTTAAATATTTTTAAATAAAATATATATAAAAGCCATTATTTTAAAAAACAAAATATAATAAAACTATGGCAACCCACATTTTATTTAAAATTAATTATATTTTTTTTAAAAATTAATTATATTTTGTTATTTTTACGATGATTTTTTGATAAAAACAGCCTGTTTTCTATCAATTGACTTTTGGATGGAATTAACACCATTATATGAGGAATCTTTTTTTCTTGAAAACAATAGAACCAAACGTTTTTTTTTTTTTTGATAATAGTTTTGAAAAATAAGGAATGAAGAAAGCCTAGGAATCAATGTGAGATTCATTCAGATTACTTTACTGAAATATTGGAAGTAAAGGTTTATTTTATTTAATTTCTTTTTTTTTTTTTTTTTTTTTTTTTTTTATTTGATTTCGAACTGATATCAAAAACTAGTTTCTAGAAAAAAAAATAAAAAATAAATAAATAAAAAATGGAAAACTTAAAAAGCTTTGAAAAATGAGAATTAAACCGTCCAATCACATCCTCAAAATGATGGAGAAAAAAACCATAACGATTCTATAAACTTGGGAAAAATAAAAACAAATTATTATTATTGTTATTATTTATAAAATTTAAAAAAACCAAACAGATATATTAAAAGAAAGTTTGTGTAACATAAAAAAATAAAACCCTTTTCAAACTTTTCATTATAATTGTGAATGATAAATGAACACACAAGCTTTGTGAAATCATATTTTTTTTTTGAAAAAAAAAAAAAAAAAGAAAAAAGTAAAAAAAAACTATTTTATTTTTGATTTAATTTTTTATTTTTTTTTTTTTTATATTTTTTTTATTTTAAAATAAAATTTTTTTTTTTTTTTTTTGTTATTTCCTGAAATTTAAGAAAAAAATTCAGAAAATATGATGTAGTTATTTTATTTCTTTTTTTTTCAAATCTAATGTTTTATTAAATAGACAAAATATTGCTCTTATTTTTTCAAGAAATTCAATTTTTTTTTTTTAAATATTTAGAAACGATAACTAAAATTAGAATATAACCTTCACACATCAACACTTTATAGCTGATAAACGATATAGAAAGGATGGGGAAGTATCAATCACGGGGTATATATTTAGTTTTTTATGGGGGGGGGGATGGGGGAATTACCAAAGCCCAATAAATTTATTTGCATATTTTTTAAAAAAAAAAAAATTTAAAAAAAAAAAAATTTTTAATGTAAAATTAGTACCAACTTCGAATCTTTTTTTTTTGTATTAAAAAAAAAAACTACAAATGCGATAGGTTTCAATAAAATATCTTTTTGTAAAAGAACAACCCTTTTTTTTTTTTTTAACTTTTTAGTTGTGTTTGTAATTTAAAAAATTTATTTTTTTTTTTTTTTTTTTATTTTTTAAAATTTTTTTTTTTTTATTTTTTGTATAAATCGTTTCTTTTTTTTTTTTTTTATCATTTGGGGATGTTTTTCCTCACATTGAACAACAACCAGTTTAATTTATAATATTTTAATTATATATATATTTATACACATTTATATATTAACAATAAAAGTCATTAAAAATTTTTTTTTCCTTTTAAAAAAAAATATAGATTTAAAATAATTTTTTTAAAAATAAAAAATTATAATTCCCCAATTAAAAAATTAATTAATTAATTATTAAAAAACAAACAAAAAAAAATGTCATTTAAAACCAACAATTTATTTATATTGTTCTTTTTGGTTTTTGTTACCGCTGCCACCACCGTTAAAGCCCAATTAGAGTTAATTGTAGATTTTACATCAACAATCTCTTATGTCAACTACCAATGTGGGGATTCAGGTGTTTTTCCACCATGCAAATCGCTCTCTGATGCTGGAGAAAGAGCTAGACTATACATTAATGCCATCAACACACCAACTATCGATCCATCACTCACTATAAAGTTAAGAAATGGTGCCACTAATCCAATTATCGCTGGTCCAAATAATGAAATAGGAAATCTTTTCGGTTTTTGTTCAGCTCAAATATTAGTTGATTTACCAAGCGCCACCACCACTATTTCAATTGATGGTTCAACCTCAAATGGTCCATTCATCTCTTTAGAACAACCAACCATCTCCAATTCAAATATTCAATGTTCTGCTGGTATCTCATTAACTGTCAAATATTTAAAGTTAGTAAACTGGGGTGAAAATGAAGTTATCTTTATCAATGTCGACCAAACTTACAATGTAGCAACCAATAAAGCTGTCACTTTACAATATGTTAGTATACTAAACTCAAGCAAAGCAGTCATCGTACAACCAAAATACTCTACCATGGACTATGGGGCAGTTAAAGTTACACTTAACTATTGCACCTTTGAAGACCTTTACTCAAGTACCTCATCTCTTTTGCCACCATTCTTTTTAAGAGGTGTCATTTTAAATTTATCTAGATGCACTATTCAAAATTCTATTTTAACTTCATCAGAGGTATTATTCATTGAATATGGTTCATTAACAATTTCTTTTGGTTTCGCCATTATCAATGTTCATTTAGACTCTGAATATCCAATTTTTTCAACTCTTAATATTGGCACAAAGGTTATCAATAAATTCAGTACCACTATAAAGTTGAGTGATTCTTCATTTTCAACTTATATGTACCAAAGAAATACAATAGATTCACCAGAAAACCCAGCTGAACAAGTTTTTAGCTTTCTTAGCTTTGTCAATTGCACCATTCTTTCAAGTACATTTGCCTCAAACAGTTTATTTTTTTATGAACAAGCATTAAATAATCAACCATTAGACCTCAAATTCGATGACTCCACTAACCATTGGGAAGATAATACCATCTCACCAGGAAAAGTTTTGGTTTATCTCAAAAACATAGCATCTTATAAAATAGATTACGTTACCGCAAACTCTGTTGCCTCAGATGACTTTGAATATTTAATTTCATCACAAAACTCCGTTGCACAATTATCTTTTTCACAAATTGCCTCCAACAAACCATTAGTTGGATCAGGTACCACAATGCTTTTATTTGATTCGTTGATCAATTTCACACAACTTAATTTGTGCCAATCATGTGTTGTTATTGATAAAATCACCAACACCGTAGTATTCGATAACACAATTTAAAAAAATAAAACACACCCTCACATCAGTTTTTTTTTTTTTTTTTTTATTTTTTTTTTTTAGGTAGCACTTAACACAAGTTCTTTTTTTTTTTTTTTTTTAGGTCGCACTTAAGTTCATGCGTAAAAAAAAACACTTTTTCTTTTTTTAGGTTGCACTTAACACAAGTTCATTTTTTTTTGTGGGAAATTTTTAGGTGGTATATTTTTTTTTTTGTGCACGGTTATTTTTTTTTATTTTTTTCTCAATAATTTTGGTAGATAGGGCGGATATTTTGCAATATTTTTAGATAATGTGGAATCTAAAAACATTTAACAAATTTATAAGTGTGCAGTTTTTCTTTTTTTCTTAGGGAGGCACGAGTTTTTTTAATATCTGCTTTCACTTCTTATATAACAAAGAAAATTTTATAGTTCAAAAAAAATTTTATTTTTTTTTTATTTTTTTTTTTTATTTTTTAGTTTTTATAATTTTCTGGAAAAAAGATTTTTTTTAAAAATTTTTTTTAAATGTTCAATTATAAATAAAATTTTTTTTTTGCATTAATAAAAAAAAAAACAAATATAAATATAAATAAGTAAATAAATAAATAAATAAATAAATAAATAAATAAATAAATAAATAAATAAATAAATAAATAAATAAATATCAAATAAACAAATAAAAAGCAAATAAACAAATAAATATCAATAAATAAATAAATAAACAAATAATTTTAATTTTTAAATAAATTTAATACAATAAATAATAACTATACAATGACCATTACTGACTTTTTCGTCCCAGCTATTGCCTTTACCAAAGTTTCCGATATTACCAAAGCATACTTTAAAAGCCCAGGAAATCCACCTGCATCACAACTTGCCTATTTACAAAACCCACCATTAGTAAATAATGCACCATCCCTTTATAATTATGTTTATGCCGAGATCATTTTAAATTCAGTCCTCAACTTTAGCACCACTGATGCCTACGGTGCTGGCCCACTCATTACCTCTTTAGGTACTCTCCAAAGTAATATATATACCACCATTAGCGGTTTCTTCCCAGTTTTACTTGCTAATTTACCAAATTGCTTCAACACTGCCGTCGTTGCCACTGCTAAATATGACACCATCAAAAGCAATCTCAATGCTCAAAGGACATTATTAACCAATTTAAAAACTCAATGTTCAACTCTTATTAACTCAATTAACACAACTAAAAATGCTCTCCCAGTAAACCAACCAAATACAGCCTCCTATAATGCTGTAGTTACCTGCTACACTAATGTTGTCGCTGGCATCAACATAGCTTCAACACAAATTGATGCAGCTTCCAGTTTAATTGGTACAATTGGTACAAATTTAGATACCTTATCTGTAACAGCCAGTTATTATCTTGACGATCTTTGTTCAGATGCAGAGTATATGGACAGTGTAAATAATACCTGCAGTAATATTTGCTACTCTATAAATAGTATCTTAGGTTGTCTTAACGAATTCGGTAAAACAAAAGCATTGTAAATTAATTAAAAAAAAAAAATACAAATATATTTATATTTAATTATTTAATATTTATAAATATTGAATAAAAGTATAAATAATAGTAATTATTTTATATTTATATTATTAATAATAATATTAATGATATAATTCCAACAAATAATAATAATAATAATAATAATAATAATAATAATAATAATAATAATAATAATAATAATAATAATAATAAAGAATAGTAATAATTATATTAATAATGATGATAGTGATATCAACCATTATGTATAATAAATACTTTTTAAACTATAAACTTTTTTTTTATTTTTTATTTATTTTTTTAATTTATATAGTTATATCATAATAAAAACTTGCAAACAAATTTATAAAGTTTATAATTATTTTTTATTTATTATAACTAACAATTATTATTTCATTATTTGTTTTTTAAACCACGGGTTTTTAAGAATCCAGCGTTGGATGTTGTTTTTATTTTTTTTTTTTTTTTAATTATTCATTTTAAAGTTGATAATAATTTCCTTTATTATTGTAATATAAAATAACAAATTTCAAAAAAAAAAAAAAAATTTTAAATTTAAATTAAAAAAATTCACAGTTCATAAAATTACCAAATAATTTATTTTTATAAATTATCAGTTTTTTTTTTTTTTAAGAAATCTTAAATTAACAATTGTAAATATAATTTGTAATATTCAATTATTTAAAATATTAAATAGTTTTAACTTTTTTTTTTTTTTTTCAAATAAAATATAGATAATTTATTAAAAAAAATATTAATGGGTAACTTTTATGGGAAATTTTATTCACAAGGAAAAAGATAGAAATACACATTACACATACTTTCAATCTTGGGCTAAGCCTCAAATTTTGGAAAAGGATTTTATCTAAATAGATATTTTTTTTTAAAAAGAAGTTCGAATGTAAGTTGTTTCACAAAAAAAAAAAAAAAAATTATTTTTTTATATTTTTTTTTTCTTTTTTTTTTTTTCAATTTTTTTAAAAATCTTGGCTTCTATTTTTTATAATTTTTTTTTTATTTTTTTTTTTTCAAATAATAATTTTGTGTTTAAAATGGATATTAAAAATTGTGTTTATTTAATTTTAATTCTTTTTTATTTTATTTATAACATAGATGCAGATCAAAAATTTTTTGTAAATTCAAAAACGGGTATTCCTTTTGTTGATCAAGTGGGGGGACAGTGTGGTGATGAAAATTTACCATGCAAAACTTTTAGAGATGTTGGAAAAAGAGCGCTGCTTGTCACCAGCGGAGAAAAGATAACCATCAATGTTGATGCATCATCGTCTCCTATTAGTGGTGATTCTTTAGGAAATCTTTATCCATTGTGTAATGTTAATGTGCAATCTACGATCCAATTTACTGTCAGTGGTGAATCAGCAATAGAATCTTTTGTTAGTTTTGTCCCAGATAAAGATTATTCAGAATTTTCAGTTTGTGATGGTCCCAAAATATTTAGCATTAGAAAAATGGATTTTAATAATTGGAATAATATACCTGTTTTTTATTCAGAATTGGCAGAAGAAGCACAAATAAATATATTATTGGTCAATTTTTCAAATTCTAATAGAATTGTACATAATGAGCCAAAAGAAGGAATATCCTTCGACCCCAACAAATTAATATTTACATTTTCTTCAGTATCATTCAGCGACATAGAACAAACATCATCAGATCCTCCAGTTTATATTGTTGGTGGTACTTTTAAATTCGTAATAAGACTAAACATTGAAAATAATATTCTAAACAATTCACCATTTTTCTATTTATCCAAAAGTGTTTATAATGCTTCTTTTTTCCCAGTAAATTTTGCAAATAACAAAATCAAAAATCACCCTATTTTCTTGTTTGTTGATCCTTTATCAAATGTTTTGCTTTCATATTTCAATTTTACAGATAATACTATTGCTTCAATATCCCAAGTAGTTTATTCAAATAGTAATGAAATAGTTTTCCCAAGTTATGAAATTTCAGATGACCAAACAAATACCATCTCTCTTTTAGACAACTCTATTGTTTCGTTGGCCAATGGATATTTAAATTTTCAATATAGAAATGGCATTTTTGGAGCAAGTAGCTACAGCAAAAATAATCCTTTTATTTATTTGTTTAGAAAAATCAATTCAACTGGAACAGTCTTTTTTGACCAAAAACCATTTTTTTCAACAGATTTATTAAATATTTCAATTGAAGAAATATATATATCAGATTCGGGTAGATTCTTTATCAATGCTTCATATTCAAACATCTCAGTTGGTTTCGCTGGAATCTCTCCATCAAGTTTTGAATACCCATTTATGGGTGACGACAATCTAATCTCATCACCAAGTATCCAAAATTTTAGTAATGAAAAATTCTGTCTTTGTAAAAATTGCTCTTTTAATAATGGAGAATTTGAAGTCGATGTAAACCCAACATACTGTATCAAATTAACCGAAACTCCTATACCATCAGAATCATCGTCATCGTCATCCCCATCACCGTCCTCAGATGATTTAGGAAATCCAAGAGATAACGAAAATAAAAAGAAAAACAATATTATAATCATCGTTGTAATATTAGGTGTAGCTTCAATTTCATCAGTTGTTATATTCTCTATAGTATTTAAGAGACATAGAGAAAAGAAATATTTATTAAATTCATCAACTAGTTTAAGTGGAAGTAGTAGCGAACTTGGTGAAACAACCGTAGCTTCAATTGATAACGACGTATCACCAAATTTGGAATCAGTAATTTACGAAGAAGATGAAGATTATGCAGGTTTGGAAAAATTGTAAAAATAAATCACAATAATCAACAAATTAGTTTTGTATTTTAATAACAATCAAAATTTCATTTGATAATAATTTTATAAAACTAGTTATTTTTTTTTTCATAAAATGAATTTTGTTAATTTTAAAAAATAAATAAAATAATATTTAAAAATCTACACTTTTATTTTTTTTTTTCTCTATTGCTCGATTAATGAGTTAATATATGATAAATCTGATTTTGGTTCGTTATTATTTGATTTATCATTATTGTTTGAATTATAACTTGACTTATTTGTATCATTTTTTTTCTTTTTATTTTTCTTTTTATTTTTTTTATTTTTTGTATTTTTTGTATTACCCACAGAAACTCCATATTCTTTTAATTGTTCTTTGGATAAATGGACAAAACTACATTTTATACCTTTATTACACACACCAGTTTCAGCAAAAGAAAAGCAAAATGGTGGTGGCTGGGATTGTGATTGTTTTTGGTTTTGTAAAAATTGTTGTGGGGGTGGTTTTGAAATTAAACTTGCAATGGGCACCAATGGAGGGGGAACAGTCTCTTGTAATATTGTTGGTATATTTGGGTGTTTAATTTGTAAATCGTAAACATCGTCCTCTTTTTCCTCTATTGATTTATAAATATACACAAAATTATCATTTGGTGTGTGTGATAAAATAAAATATTTTTCATTTAAACTATTATTATTATTTGAAAGTGATTTAATTTTTTTTAAAATTTCTAAAGTTATTTTTGAAGATTTTACTGGTTTAAAATGTGATTTCGGACTCAATATATTAGCCATATCCTTTTTCTCTATTGATAAAATTCTATTGTTCCAAATATTAACCCTTGAAAGTAATAGGTGAGCATCTGGTCTAATAAAGGTATAAGCCCACCATTTGGACGAGTCCGAAATAGTTGTTTCTTCTAACCCTTTCTCTGGTCTATATTCAATTTTAGTTTTTAACCCGATATATCTAAACTTATAATTTGGATCTGAAATTTGACCATGAATTTTACACCTAATTAATATTTTCATACCTCCAAACTCCCATATATTATATGTTAGATTCGATTTTTTTAAATGACTTGGCTGTTCTGAAGATTGCTGTTGTTCTGTAGATTGCTGTTGTTCTGTAGATTTCTGTTGTTGTTGTTGTTGATCATTTATTTTATATTTCTTTTTTGTAAAGTCAATAGCTGGATGGGATGTTGATTTTTCACCCAATGTTAAACCTAATGATTCTATTGCTACATTAAAAAATTTTTCATTTTTTTCTCTATTTGTTATTCTTTTTTTTAATAATGGTTTTTCAATTATTGATACTATTTTTTTAATTACTTTTGTAGATTCTGGTAAAGGTGTCGATGTAGAGGAGGTTTCTCCTGAGGTATTATTATCTGGTATTGTTATATTAAATTCTTTTAAAAATATCGGAATATCCCATTCTTCTGAATATTGGTTTTGTGAATGGTTGTTTATAAATTTAATAAATGATGAAGATGACATTACAATATCTATATTTCTTTTTTCGATGATTTCTTTAACTTGTGGATCCTCTTTTAAAGGAGGTATTGACTTTTTATCCCAATAGCTTAGAGATGAGCCACAATCAAAATAGGATCTAGCTATAGAAATTTCCGTATTTGAGGGTATTTTCTCAAAGTACAGACATTTACCAAGTTCCAATACAGTTTCCCTATGGGTCAATATTGGATCTGTTGAAAGTGGAGTTTGAATTGACATATCCAAAATATCAGTTTTCTTATAGTATCTTGGTAGATTTCTTAGCTCGATTAACTTTCTATTGAAATTTTCATTAATTTGTTTTTCGACCTCTTGGTTAATAAATGAAAAAATATTGGTTGATACAGGTGATAAAGTATTTGTTGGTAGGTCGTTTGTAATTGAATTTGAAAGTTTTAAAATACTATCTAGTATTGTTGGTGCTGGTGATGTTATTTGTGGTGTTGATGTTGATGTTGAAGTTGACTTTAAAATATTTGTTTTCAATATTTTATTATCTATATTACTATTATTTAATGAATCTAAAATTGATGTTGTGGAGGATTTTGTTACAGATGGTTTTTTTAATGAAGATGTGGTCACATTTTGGTTATTAATATTATTATTAATTAGGCTGGTAATGGGTGTCGTGATACTAAATGATGGTTTTTTATTTATATCTAATTTTAATTTCTTATCTTCTGTATTGTTACTTTCATTTTCTAAAAGTGAGTTATCATTTATTGATCTTTCATTTAATAAAGATAACCTTGTTCTTTTTTTACCAATTGTAAGTTCATTATTACTATTACTATTACTATTATTAAAATTAATATTCATATTATCATTTACAATTTCCGTATTATTATCGGCCATAGTTTTATCTTTATCGTTATCGTTATCGTTATCATTATCGTTATCGTTATCTTCATCGCTATCTTCATCGTTGTCATTATTTACATCATCATCTATTAAATCTTTTGGGTAATAGTTGGGTAATCTATCTATAAATTCTTTTTTTGAAGTTTTAATATAAAATTCATCCAATTCTAAACTTGTTTTTGAAATATTTTCAAACTTTATTTCTAAATTTGATTCAAAGATTGAGTTATATTCGCATCTATAGTAATATTATATTGTTAGTATATCTTTAATAAAAATATCATTAAATAAAATATATTTTATTTAATTACCCATTATTTAAAAATTTATAACAATCATTAATCGATGTAATTTCATTATTTTCATTATCATTATTTTGTAAACCTTTTGTTTTTCTTGATAAATTTGACATTTAAAAAAATTTAATAGTTTATTTAGTATCCATAAAATACATAAAAATGAAATGAATAAACAAACTTTTAATAAGGATTAAAATTTAAAAAATTTAAATAAAAATTTTAAAAAAAAAAAAAAATAAAAATAAATTAAAAAAAATATTATTTTTTTTTTTTCGTTTTTTATTTATTATTATTTATTAAAATTCCAAAAAAAAAAAAAACAAATAAATTTAGTTATAAGAAATTTTTTTTTTTTTTTTTTTTTTTGAAATAGTTCAAAAAAAAAAATTAAATCTAAATATTTATTTTAAGATGTTGGTGAATTGTTATTCGATACATTATTATTATTAATATTATTTTCACTATTATTGTCACTATTATTATTTAAAGATTTACTACTAGTTGTTGATTCTAAATCAGAATCAATATTATTATTACTTATATCTTGAGATTGATCATCATCAATTTGAATTTCTTTGAGTTGTGATTCTATAGTTTTTTGTACAATTAAAAGATCCTCTTCAGTTTCAGAGTCAACATCAGCAGCAGCACCAGAATCGGAATCATCTTCGCTAACATCACTATCAAAATCGAAATCTTGATTTGCAACATCTTTGTAGTCTAGTTTTGGTGATTTAATTAAATTTTCAGCGGATGGAGAACGACGTAAAGTTTGGGTTGATGACATATGAGATTTGGTGGATAAACGATTTGCAACTAGAGACATCAAAGTACGTGGTGGAGATAATGCAACACTATGCTTGAAATCTTGAGGTGGCCATTTTTCATCTGGTGAACGTAATTTGTGACGGGTATTGTTTAATGATGGAGCAGCACCACTAAATTGTAATGAAATTGGGTAATAACGTTGAATGGAATTTAAATTGATTGGAGAAAGATAGTCTAAGCCTACTTTAACACTAACATTAATTGTTTTTGTTGGCTCCCATGGTAATATTTTGTTGACTGGGGGATTAACTTTGTTGGTACCTGGTTTTTGTTTTAATAAATATTTATCACATGCTGATATTAATACTTGATCATTATTTTGTTCAGCCTCTTTTTTAATTTGATAAACACTATCTTTGTCGTTTAATAATATTGAAATTTGTAATAAATAAATATATTCACCCAATTTTGAAAAGCAATCTTTGGCTAAATTGTAATGACCAGCATTCATACATTCTCTTCCGAAATCTCTCATATTTTCTTTTAGTTTTAAAAATTGTCTCTTTTCGGTTTCGTTTAATGTTTTGAGTGAGTTCATTCTATTAAATTCTGATGATAAATGACGATTTGCATCATCGTATTGTTTTGATATCCATGCCATTCTAAATTTATCTAATGATGATTGTTTTGATTGTGATGATTTCATTTCATTGGCTAAGGAATATGCTAAATCTGTGAACGATTTCTCTCTAAGTTTATCTAATACAATTCTGCTAATTCTATTGAAATCTAATTTAGATACAATATTTTGTAAGCATGTTGATAAATATTTCTTTTCATATTGAATGAATGGTGGTAATGATAGTAAACCCATGATCAAGCATTCAAGGATACCAATTGCTTGACAACGTATTGAGGTTTCATTTTTACCCGGTACTTGAGGGCCTTGATAACCAAATAACATTCTATCTGGTAAAATGGTAGATAGAATAATTGGGGACTGTGATAATGTTGAAATTGGTCTAACTGGTTGATTATTTTGCAATGTCATATACATTAAATGAGTTGGTGTTGTATAAAGCAATGTCCATTCTAACCAAATTATACTATGGAAATATAAAGAAGAGGTGATCGAATGCTCTGGTGGTGTTGAGATTTGGTTAATAATTTTTAGACGTGAATTAGTAATTAAAATTCTTTGATTTGTTAAAATTGCACAGACATGTTGGGATGATCTTGGATCCGATTGCCATTCAACTTGGAATACCTTTTCGTTTGGTTGTAAAAGTAATTGATCGCCGGTAACATCAACACTATATTGATCTTTAGTTGATGGGTCATGTTGTTGATTTATATTCTTTGAAAAGTAAATACAGTTTTTTTCTTGTGAGAAATATAATACAACTTTGTTGCCAAATAGCGGAGTAGAGTGTACTGATGTAACTTTTGGTAATAAATTATGATTTTTAAATGAGCTGACGCCTTGTTTAGAGAGAGTTGCAACTTTGGCTAATTTGCCATCTAAACCTAAAATTAAAATTTGTTGATTGTTACCTAGAAAAACACAATCTACACCATCACCTTGTTGATTTACTGATCCGTTTAAATCCATTAACAAGTATTTTCCTAATTGAGCTTGGGCGGCTAATGAAAAAGAGTCATAGATTAAAGCGAATAGTTGGAATTCGGTATTGAATAAAAACTTTTTAGGTTTGCAAATTTCTTCGTTACTTGTAGCTATAATTGGTTGTTCAATAAGTTTTCTAGTTATACCATTAAGTGGAAGATATGATTTTACATGGGTACCATCAAAGAATGTAATTTCGGCAGGATAGTTAAAGGTTTGTTCAGGTTCAAAGAAGAAACCCATTGGAACATTAACTTTACTGACAAGAGGGAATGAATGATTTAAATAGTCGTATGAATTTATAGAGTAGATATTTTGATTAATATGTCTTATCGAAGAGAATGGTTGACTATTAATATATGGTGGAAGTGGTGATAACGATGCTGAAATATTTGGTGATGCCTCTAATTGAAGTGTTAAATAATTTTTGGTTGGATGAAATATTATTGAGGTTGCGTTTAATTTTGGTACAGTTAATGGCTTTGAGGATTTTGATAAATAGGATAATGAATCATTAATATCTGGTATACATGGTGGTATCATTGATGATGGAACTACTATTTTTGAATGATAATTGACTTCCCATGTTGAAATTTCTTCATATCCTGCTGGATTACTTGATAATACAAATAACAATGGTAGTTGTGGGTGATGTACAATTGATAAAATATTTTGACCTTTACAAATAAATCCACTATTTTAAATAATAATTAATATTATTATTTTTTTATTATTAAAACTATTATAGTATAGTAAATATTTACCTAGCAATAATTTCTTGTGATGGTGTAACTGATGTTTCACCATAAACTAAAGTTAAACCTGATGAACCAGTCATAACTAAGTATTTACCAGTTGGTTCAAAAACTAAAAAGTAATTTGCTGAATGCTCAATATTTCTAGAGTTTTCATAAGATGGGAATTCCTCTAAATTTGAAAAGGGCATTACTACATTTGTTCTAATATCCCATAGTTTTAAATGACCATCGGTACTTGCTGAGGCTAAAAATGGTCTGTTTGGATGATGTGCAAGGGCTGAAATTGGTTTTTTATGACCCTTTAACTTGAATGGTTGATTACTTACTTTGTTAACAAAATCAGCAACTAAATGTTAAGATAAAAATATTAATATTTGAATTATTATAAAAATTTGTTAACCCTAAAATAGTTAATACTTACCAACAATATCATTTGAATTAACTTTAGAAAAATAAACAGCTGGTTTACAGTGTGAAGCGACTTTACATGTAATAGGTCTATTATCATCAACTTTTAATTGATGGACAATGGTTTGAAGTTTATGGGTTTCTGGGTCAAATAAATATATAATTCCTACTGCTGTAAATACTAAGAGATAGGTTGGTGTTTGATTGTTACCAACTAATGTAATAATATGTTTAATAATTTCATTTTGGTCAATAAATAATTTACCAAAAATACTTTGTGTAATAATATCATAAACTAAATTTAAAATAAGAAAGTTATATTAATAAAAGTTTTTTATTATTATTATTATTTTGTATTATTATATTATGATAATTATTGTTTAAATAATAAGGTATATCTTACAATGAATTTCATTTCTTATGGCAGCATAAAGCACAGGTGCTCTTGGATGAAAACATAAACAATTAAATAAAATTTGATTTGCCATCATATAGTTTGTAGTAATGATTGTATTGGAAGTTAAATGGGATGGTGGTAAATTTGAGGATAGTGAGTTATATTGTAAACCAATTTGGCTGGTACCAGCTCCTATTGAAAGTGTTGAACCAATGGAGGTCTCTGATGAAGCTATTGATGATGCTGAACTAAGTAATAAAATATTATTCGACATATAACCACTGGCACTACTATTCATTGATGTACCATTCATTAATGATGCTGATGATGTGGATGCTGATGATGAGATTTGACTACCTTGTTGCTGATCGGTTGGGGATGAGATTTGGTTTACTGATCCTCCTTCATTTTGGTAATAGTTTTGTTGGTTCGATAACCCACCATTTCCAACTAATACTGTAGAGCTTGATGGTGAATGATATGAACTAGATGTTGTATTACTGACCTTTATACTCGAACAAATTCCAATTTTTAACATTTTTATTTATTATACAAAAAAAAAATATAAAAATATAAACAAATAGAATATTTATTTATTATAACAGTTATTTAATAGTATTTAGGTATTAATACAATATAAAAAAAAGTACAATACCTACTTTATATGAATAAAGAGGTTTATAAAAAAAAAACAATTTCAAACAACTAAAATACAATTGGTGTATAAATATATATCTATATATCTATAAACTAAATCACACTCTTTTAAATTACAACAAATAAAAAACTAAATAAATAATGTATGGTGTGATTTTTGTGATCAAAAAATATTTAAAAAATAAAAAAATAAAAAAAAAGAAAAAATTTAAAAAAAATTTAAAAAAAAAAAAAAATTAAAAAAAAAAATCTTTTTTTTTTTTTTCATATAAAGTTTTTTTATCTTATTTTTTATTTTATTTGGTTTATTATAATTATATATATTGTTTTGGTGTGGTTATGTGGGGTTTTCTTGATTAATGTACACTAGTATTTAGCGATAAGTTATTGACATAAATATTTTTGTAATAATTCATGATTAAATTTATTACATATTGGATCTCTTGAGTAATATCCAAAAGCGGCAATAACTATTGGAGCTAAAACGATTGAAACATTTCTGAGGATATGACTGGGTTTAAAAGAGGAAATTGCAGCCTTTAAAAAAATGGTGAGGATTAGAATATGTGTTTTTTAATGTTATTCGTTGAATTATTATACTTACATCACAAGTTGCATTGCAAAGGTTAACCTCATCGATATCATAGCTTGGTGATTTGTGTTTAGCTGGTTGCTGTTTACCTTTTTTATTTGAATTGTTTGTTATTGCTACACTATTGGTATTATTTTGGTAATATTTATTTGATAAATTATTATTTTCATTTTGGGAAAATAATGCTAAATCATAAATATTTGATTTTGAAAGATTTACCAATTGAATACCACTCTTTTCTAAAGTTCTCCATTGTAATAAAATGAATAATAATAAATTATTAACCTGAGCTATAATTTCCACATATCTACCCTTTATTACTGAATAACAATCTTTATCTAAATTTAAACAATCAATAACTTTGCTTAAAAGCTAGTTTGAAAATTAAATAAAAAATTAGTTAATAGGAATATTTAAATTTTATTTTATACTAAACATACCATATTTCTTAAATTTTCATCAAAGGTGACACAATAGTTCAAAAGGGTAAGGAAATAAGCTGGTGATACTTTGTTGTTTGGGAATAATTTTTCGACATCAAATAAAAAGTCTGAATATTTCATTGCAACTGGTTGGACATTATGTAAAATTAATGCATTAATAAATTCGTCTAATGCCAAATCTAATACAGTTTCTTCTATTTTTACACCATTTTTTTGAATTTTCCTAATAAAATAAAAATTAATATAAAACAATTTTAAATTTTTGTAAAAAAAATATTTACTTTGATTCCAACAAAAGATCTGAAAATTTAACAAATAATTCTAGATTTTGCTCGCTATTAATTTTTGATTTATACAATGCTGGGAAAATAATTTGTAACCACACTATAAAAAAAAAGAATTAATATTAGGTTGATATTTAAAATGACTTTTAATTTTAATACAAACATGATGAGGATACGGATGGATTGGTATTGATTGGTTGATAAAACAACCAAAGATATAATGATACTACATTTGGTTTGAGTGATTGTAAATTAAGAGATTTAAAATGATTTGCATTCTTTAATAAGGCATCTGGGAAATATCTTAAGATTGTTTGAAGTAAAATTTCTAGACCAACACCACTAGTTGTCATTGAACCTTTATCTTTTCTTAAAATTGATACAATATTATTAGTTAAAAAAATAACTGTTGGAATAATATTACCAATTGGTTTTCTTTCAAAAAATGAAATTGTTTCTTTTTTAAATTTTTCATCAAATTTTGATAAATAATCTATTAAAAAAAAAATGGTAAGTATTTTACTAAACAACATTTTTATTTTAATAAAACTTACCTAGTTTCTGATGATATACAGTTTGGTCGCTTGGTACTTTACCAAAATGGTTTTCTAAAAATTCAGAAACATATTGAACTTGAATATCGACAACTGAGGGAAATTTAGTTTCAACATTCTTTAATAATTCATAATATTTGTCAAACTCAAACTAAAGTATTTATTATAAAAAATAAAAAATAAAAAGTTAATAATTTTTGTTTTTTTAAAATTAATTTAATGGCTGTAATTACAGTTTTGAGAGCTTCAGCAAATGCTAATCTTTCATTTGATTGTGGTTGATTTTGTTGTTGTTTTTGTTGTTGTTTTTGTTTTTTTTGTTTTTGTTTTAATTTTAGTTGTTTTTCTTTTTCTCTAATTTCAGTTAGTTTACCTGGATTAAAACTGTACCCATTATCTGGGTTCTCATATTGTTTTTGGAGTTGTCTTTTTGGATGTGAATGTTGTTCTACACCAACTTCACCATCTGATGCATCATCATCTAAAATATTCCATGGATTATAATTGGTTGGTCTATTTTTAATTGAAAATGCTTTAGATGAATCTGAAAATAACTCTGCAATTTTTTTTTGTTTTTCCTTTATAAATGAAAAAAAAAATAATTAGCAATTAAATATAGATGATATTATTTTCATTGCTATCATCATTATTATAAAGTACATACATCATGTTCTTTTTGTTCTTGATCTCTCTTTTTCTTTTTTTCATGTTCTCTAACCTCTTTTTTTTCTTTTCTTTCTCTATTTTTTTCTTCTTTGGTTGGGACACTAGTCCACTCACCTTCATCACTATCATACGAATTGTTATTTGTTGTAACATGGTTGTTATTGTTGTTGCCCTTTTTTTTAGCCATTTTTGATGTTGTAAATAATTCTGTTTATAATAAAAAAAATAATAATGAAAATGAAAAAAATTTTTGGAAATAAAAAAAATTTTTATTTTTAATTTAAAAAAAATTTATAAAAAAATTTTATAAAAAATATTTTAATATATTTATTTACTTTTTATAAGTTTAAAATCACCAAGAATATAAATTTTTATAGAAAGGGATATTAATAAAATTTTTAAATAAAAAAAAAAATATAATAATAAAAAAAAAAAAAAAAAAAATTTTTTTTTTTTTTTTTTTTAAGATAATACACTTGAATTTTATTTAAAACCAAGACAAATCATATTAACTATCTTTTTATTCTAATAAAATAATTAAATATTAATTTTTTTTATAATTTTTTTAAATAAAATAATTGTTATATAGGATATTTTTACTGACAAAAAAAATAAAATTAAAAAACTAAAAAACTAAATTTAAATTTTAAAACTATGTAGTATTATTTTTTTTAAAAAAAAATAGATAAAATGGACAATTGGTTAAATATAGATATTAATAACATTGGTTACTTTGATAGAGATTGTGATAGTTATAGCGACAGTGATAGTTATAGCGATAGTGATAGTAACAGCATCAGTGATAGTTATAGTGATGATAGTTGCAACAGCCATAAAGAAAAAGAACCATGCATTAGGGAACTATGGAATAAAGAAGAAAAAGAGCATTTATTAAAACTTGTTAAAGAAAATGGTTTAAAAAATTGGAGTGATATTTCTAAAAAGATGTTTCCTTTCAAAAAAACCAAAGTTCAATGTTGTTTTCATTTCAATCATTTTCTTAAAACTAGAAATGACAATTTAAAAAAAGGTCGTTGGAATAGCTCAGAAGATTTGCAATTGAAACATTTAGTTAATAAGTATGGTGCTAAAAAATGGAGATATATCTCTTTTTTATTAAACTCTGGTAGAAACTATCGTCAATGTTCAAATAGGTACTATTATTTAAAATCTGAAAATAAAGGTAGATTTTTAGAAAAATGGACCTGTATGTAAAAATTTATAATAAAAAATAAATATTTAATTTCTTACCAACTCATATTTAAATATTTAGCTGAAGAAGATATAAAATTAAAGCAACTAGTTAGAAAATATGGCACCAATGATTGGTCAACATTAAGTTTGGAAATGGAAAATAGAAATAAAACCCAATGTTGTAATAGATATCATGGACATTTAAAAAAAAGAATGAATAATAATTTAAATGATGAAGCCACCCCAATTGCCGAACCTTTAGAAAATTTTCCAAAACCATTACAACATTCCAATAACTATGAATTCCAATATCCAAACTTTAATATAATTCATGAACTTTTTGAACTACACCCAGAATATCAACTATCACAATTTGAAATGTGATTCAAATTAATATTGTTGTTGAAGAATTTCTACTACAATCCCAAGGATATCGAAAAATTCTTTTTGTTCAAAACATCTTCAATAAATATTAAAAATGAATTAAAATTTTTTATTTAAAATAAAAATAAGAATTATATTAAATTTTGATCCGATTATCGATTTCTTATCAATATTTTTTTTTTCATCTTATTTTTAACCCATCAAAAAAAATACAAAAATGGGAATACCAATCCCTATTCTAAAAAAAAACAAATAAAAAAAAAAAACAATTTGGATATAAAAAAAATTAAAATAATTTAAAATTAATTTTTTTTTTTTTTTAGGTGTGAAAATCTGGCGGCTAGTTGTAATGGTTATTTTTTTTTTAATTATAACTATGCCCACATAACGGCATCATTATGCCATAATCAAACCATAATAAACTTATCATTACATGAAATTATAAAAAAAATAAATATAATAAAAAAATTAAAAAATTAAAAAAAATTAATAAAAAAAAAAAAAAATTTTATTTATTTTTAAAAAAAATTTTCATAAAATATAAAATAATATTTAATTATTTATTAGTCTTAAACTTCCTAATTCGGATTTATATAGTTATTAAAATTTTATTTAATTTTTTTTTTTTTTTTTTAAAGAACTATAGAAATATTCGAATAAGAAAATATAGATTAAAGTGTTTTTCATTTTCATTAGCTAATTAATTTTTTTTATTTTAATTTAATTATTAAATAATAGTAAATAATAAAAAATAATAAATAAAAATAATTAATTAAATTATATAGTATTTAACACAAACACACATATTTCAAACTATTAATTTTTATATCACACAAAATAAATAATAGATAATTTATACAATAAACATATAAATTATTTATGAAGAAATAAAATATCACTAATAAATCAAATTTTTTGTAATAAAATTTAAAATAGTTTAAATAATAATTTAAAAGTTCTTTTAAATAATAAATAATTATTTTATTCAATAACAATAACAAAAAAAAAATAATATATTTCCCAATAATTGTAATAACACAAAATATTTTTTTTATTTCATTTAGTTTTTAATAAAGGTTATAGCAATAACAATAGCAATAGCAATAGTAATAGCAATAACAACAAAAACAATAAATGGATTTTAAAGATGAAAACAATTCATCAGGAGGATTGGTAGATGGGGCAATTATATTAGATGAGGAAATAAATAAAAATCAAATCAATAATAATAATTATAAAAACGACGATAATGATAACTATAGTTCAACTCATAATAAAACCAAAGACAGCTCATCAAATTTATTAAATAGAGAAGATACCTATAAGCGTTATGGATATCAAGAAGGTGAGTTTAATTCAGAAAATAATCAAAATAATTCAGAGCACTCTTCATTAAATAAAAAAGGTATAAGAAATTTAATATCACCTATTAGTCCTCACCTCACATCTTCGTCGTCTTTTTCAAATATCAATGATATTGATAATAATAGTAATAGTAATATAAACGAAAATGATAACGAAATCACATTAAATAATGACACCAACAAAAATAACGATGACAAAAATAATTATAATAATAATAATTTAGAAGGTAGCAGCGGGTTTGGTGGTGAAAATAGTATTAAGAAAAGTATTAGTAGTGGTTATATAAACGAAAATAATTTAGACAATTTAAATAATAATAGTAATATATTAAAAAATTTCAATAATCATGACCACTTTGAAAATACTTTAAATAATAATAATTTAGAATCAAATTCTATCCATCCACAAAAAAATAAAATTCAAAAAAAAATTAAAAAATTAAAAAAATCTAAAAATGCTGAAAAGGGTTCAAATAATTCAAAAAATAATTTAAAAAATAATAATTTTGAAAATAAACAACAACAACAGGCCTCAGAAAATTCTATTGGTAATAGTACAATAAATAGTGAACAAAATAAAGTTATTTTCGATAATAGTTTAAAAAACAGTAATAATAATTTTTTAAATAATCAAAATCAACAATCACAACAACTACAAAAACAAATAAAAATGGAGTTATCAGATCCAATTTCAGACCAACAATTGGAGACCTCCACTGATATAACAACCAATAGTGATACATTAGAAAATGATAATAATACTACATCAACTTCTCTTAATAATAGTAACCATAATAGTGTCGAAAATAGTCCAAAATTAAAACCCCAAGAAACTTCAAACACTACTGACCCCACCACTACTACTACCACTACCAATACCACTACTACCACCCTATCACCATTAGAAGATAGCAATAATACCAACAACCAAAAAGTTGAAAACTCAAATTTAAAAGTCGAATGTGAATATTAAATTTTTAATATTTATATTTTTTCGTATTTTTTTAAAAAAAAATTTTAAATAATTAAAATTTTTTATTTATTTCATTTTAATTTACTTTTTTTTTTGTATAGCTTGTAATAATAATTTTAATAATATATATGTTACATTTTTTTTAATAATATTTTTAGTTTTTCAAAATTTTTTTTTTAATACTAACCATTTTTTCATTTAAATATAGATCGAAACGAGCCAGAGGAATACGATAGACAACAATTTTATGAATATAGAGATGACCACAGAGAGAATGGTGAGCATGGTGAACCATCCATAAAAACCGAAGAAGATCTTAATAAGAAATATAGCGATTTTAATGAAGGAAAAAGATTGAAAAATCTTAGTTATTGGTTATATTTTAAATTCCTATTTAACAAAAACAAATACAAATGGGATATTAATCAAAATAAAAGGTTTTATCTAGCTGCTCAGATTATAACCAGATTTGGTTTTCTTTCAAAAAGTAAGTTTTTAGAAAAATTTTTATAAAAATTTTTAATTTAATATTTAAATTTATTAATTTATTTTTTTATAAAGCAATTTTATATTGTTCATTAGGTGTTTTATCCATTGCAGCTGCAGTTGATAAAGAAAGATCTGTACAGGGCCCAGACGGTGTTTTTGAGGAATTACAAGAGATGTTTAGTGGTGGTGTAATTATTTTATTGCTTTTAGGTTTATGGTCATATGGTTGCTGGGGTATTTTTTATATTGTTTTTGATGTCGATCAACTAGGTCATAAAGGTGCAGGTCCAATTTTAAAAAGATTTGGTAGAATTTTTTCATCCGGTTTCTACTTTGTATTAGGTGTAGATGCTGCTCGTGTTGTCGCTCATACAAGAAAACAAGAAAGTGGTACATCTCATATCCTAGGTTTCCTCTATAAATATGTCTTTGGTAAAATTATAGTATGTGTGTTGGGTGTCACATTCTTTGTTGTATCTTTGGTATATTTAATATATTTTATTAAACCAGATAAATTCAAGCGTGAACTTTCAACCGAACGTATGAACAAATATTTATATTGGAGCGCTTTGGGTTTTGCTAGAATTGGTGCTGTCGGAAGATCAATGTTCTTTGGTGCTTTTGGTGGTGTTTTAATTAAAGCTGTGGCCGATATCAACAAGGGAAAAGAAGCTGATACTTCATTATTGGGTTTCCAGGGTGTTTTCCAACAAATTGCCAACTATAATACTACGCTTCTATTTATTATTGCCATTTTAATTATGTTTTATGCTTTATGGTGTTTTTGGTTAATGTTTTTCAGAAGGCTACCAGCTCATCAAGATGCCAAATATGCTCGTGAGGTCTTGGGTAGTGCAATCGATAAAAAGTATGTCTTTAATGGTATTCTCTTTAGAATTTTAAAGAATTATGAAGACCAAGAAAATGATCAAGATGTAAATGACTTGTCCGAATATAATGAACATCATGCTAATGATGTTATGTCACCATCACTATCTAAAAATATACCATTTAAACAAAATGTCGATAATGATAATAATAATAATAACAACCAAGAAAATTTAGATGGAAATACCTTTAATTATTATGTTGAAAATCAAAAGGAAATTCCTTCAAATATCGATAAAACTTATAATATTTAAAAATTTATAATAAAAAGTAAAAAATATAATGTATATTTATATTTAAATATTTTATTTAATTTTATTTTATTTGTTTTATTTATATAATAAAATATTTATTTGTATATATTTTTATATTTATATTTAGTTACAGGTAACTCTATATGGCATATCAACGCCTTTGCCATTGGTGCAACCATCTGTATCAATTTGAGTGCAATCGCCGGTACCTGAGCAAAGGAAAACTTCTGGTTTTTTATCAACACACATGAATTTACTAAAGTTATTTGAAAAGCCATTTGTAAAGAAAATACTGTAAGTTGGACCAGAACAGTAGTAGCTATAGTAATAGTAGTTATAAACAACAGCATCGGTTGGAACTGAATCTGAAATTGAGAAAATTGATGAGAAGGTATATGGTGAATCTAAAAATTGGAAATTAACACATTCATTGATGGCATAGGCATAGTTGATTGGACTGTCACTTGAGCAATTTGGACCTAAATAGGAAATTTGGATATGAGAGCCGTTAACTTGATTTATACTTAAATTCCAATCATTAACACTGATACATGTGCCCATTGGGAGATAATAACCAACACCATAGGTTTCACCGCAGCTATCACTTCCTTTTGGAATAATAGTAAGATAGCTGTTTGCATTAGCAAAATTTATTAAAACTGTAATAAATAAAATTAAACTTAATAATTTCATTTTTATGTATATATTTAAATGATTCGGTTGATGTTTTATTATAATAAATAAGCAAAAAAAAAAAAAAAAAAGGTTGTTATAAAAAATTTTATAAAAAAAAAAAAAATTATAAAAAATGAGTGATATTGTGAGCAATGTATAGGGGCATGGTTTCCAATCAATGTACAATGATTATTTTTTTTTATAAATATCTTAGGAGAAAAAAAATTTATTTAATTTTTTTTTTTTTTTATAATTTTTTTTTTTTAAAGCTCGAAAAAAAATAAATATTAATTATCTCTTTTTAAATCTCATTTTTATATAAAAAAAAAAATTATTTTTTATAAATAAATAATATGAATTTTTTATTATTTTTTTTTTATTGTGATAATTTTACAAAAACGCTATTTAAAATAATTTATTAGTTTTATTAATTATTATTATTATTGATTTATTATTATTGTTGTTGGTTTATTTATAGCCTTTGTCTTGCGTTTTTCATTGTTATAAAGAAAGATTCCAATTTATCGTGCATAGCAGCCATTTCGGGTGGTCTTAAAGTGGCATGTAAACGAAGACCTTGTTCAGTAACAGCTAATTGTTGTTCTAATGAGGCTTTTAAAAGATCAGCAATTTCTTTATATTCTGGATGTTGCTTGAGATAATCTTCGCTAAGGAAAGTTTCATAACGACTAACACCACCATTTACAGAGGCATCAATAATACCATTTAATAACATTGTTAATGGTGAAATACTTTCTTGTGGACTAGCTTGATGTTTATCGATTTTAGCCAAGAGTTCTTCATTCTTTTGAATGATTGAGTTGAGTGCGTTTTCAATTGGACTAAGCTCGACTTGTTTACGTTCAGTAATTAAACAACGACGTTCGGTACATGGGAATGAGTTTTCACAAATGAAATAGAGGTTCATTACCCAGAGATCTTCGAATTCGTTTTGAGATTTTGTACCACTATTCTTTTTGAATGGTTTGCTATAAACAAATACATTAACTTTATTTCTAGCGTTGAATTGTTGAACACGATGTGGAACACGTTTTTTATTTGAGAATAAATCCAAGAAACCACTGTGACGTTTTTCGATTTCGTTGGCATTCGAAACATTGACTGATGTTATTAAAAGATATTGACCATCACTATCTTGAATTGATTGGGCTGGAACTTCGGTAGTCTTTAAAAGTTCAGCTTTTGGCCATTTATCTTGAATTTTTGAAATGAAATCTGATAATCTATCAAATTGATTACCTTTATAAATAAACTCTTTGTTTTGAATTGAAAGTGGGAATTTCTTTCCATAATAGCCTACTCTAAAGTAATCTTCAAAAATTGGATCTTGTGATTCATTAATTTTTTGATAGAAGGTGCTTTGTTGACGAAGATATGTGGCAGCAGAATTCATTTCGCAAATATTCTTTGTAAAATGGTGAATGAGTTCTTTGAGTAATGGAATAGCCCTGTCCCAAGCTTTTCCATTATTATAACATAATAAAACTTCTTTATAAAGATATTCTTTTCTTTCTGATTCTTTTTGTTCAACGAAATGACCATATTCGTTTTGTGTTGCACCAACAACCTTATTATGGTCCCAATTGTAAAGAGATGCATGAAGCATTAAAGTAACGGCGGCTTCAACATAGTTACCCAATTCATAGTGTCTTCTGCTTGTCATATGAACATATCTAATGAAATGATTGATTCTTTTATGTTCAAGTAAGTAGTTGATTAATTTGCTAACGCTTGAAAAGATTTCTTCTTCGTCGTTATTCTTAACATCACTCATAAAGTTGGTGACTAAAATGAGGAAATGGTTGATATCATTGATAAATTGTTCAGCTTTCTTTTTGATAGCATCTGTCGATTTACTTAAAACTAAAGACATACATTGAGTATTGAAGAAAGTAGAGAATGATCTCATTGTAAATGGTAATTTACCGTCGGCTCTTGATACAATTGGCCAACCCTTTCTATTGGGTTTTTCTGTGCAAATTTCTAAAAGTGAGTCCATAGTATGATAGAAGAGTTCTGTATATGATTCGGTTTGAATAATTTCACTTTCTAACATATCGTAAAAAATCTTTGTAGCAACACGTTTAGCGTCCAATGTATCACTAATTGAAAGTTTGACGATTGGATTAATTAAAACTGAAATAAATGATGATCTCTCTTTAACTGGTACAGTGGCCCATACTCTTTCGAAAACTCTTGCCATTTCAATTCTAACATCACCACATCTAGTTTTAATGAAAACTGCTTTAGCTGGATTGACTGATTCGAAATGAAGATCTTTACAATTTAAATATGAGCTGGTTAATAAAAAGAATGCTCTCCATTGAGGAAATTCGAATTGGCCTTGACGTGATAAACTACCGCTGCCACCAGTTGATGCTGAACTACTACCACTATTACCATCATTATTGCTAGCACTTGGAAGATAGAAAATTACATCTTCGAGAATTCTGGTCATTCTAAGAATAGTTTTCAATTGGAATGCTGTAAATGTCCAAAAATCTGATGGGAATTTTGGTGATTCAAATAATAGTTGCAAACTATCATAGAGATCGATGAAAAAGTTTTTGTAGGTTGGTGTGACAGACTTGTTTAACATTTCCCAATGTTGAACACCTGATAAACGGGCAGTACCTAAAATAAAGGCATATATTTTAATTCTAAGATTATTTTGGCTTTCTTCGTTCATAGTTGGTACCATTGCAGCTAATGATGCACTTGTGGCAGCATTAAGTGTTAATGAAACCGAGCTAGAGCTTCGACGTTTCAAACTATCGTTACTGGCAACACTAGTAATAACACCGACATTTAATAATTGTAAAAGTTCTAAAATTGGTACAAAGAAATGAAGCATTTCCATTAACCATGGATCTTTATCTTTACCACGTAATTCTGACTTGGTGATCATAATATCTACGATAAGACCAAGTATCATTAAGCACATATCGGTTTCCTCGCTAGATTTACCAAAATGGAAATGAAGTAATTGGAAAACTAAAGGTAATAAATGTTTTCTAGTTTCTTTACATAACATCATTGGACCATTGATATATGATGAAAGTAATTTGAGTTTTAAGATGTTGAATGTTTTCTTTTTATCGTCTGGTTGGATTGATTTCATAAACTTCAAAGCGATAATACCCATTTCTTCAACGGTGAAAAATTGTTTTAAATCTGAAAACATACTTTCGAAATTCTTTAAAGCAATGGTTTTGGCACCAATTAATGATGGGATGTCACTTAACATAATTTCACAAAGAATATCAACTACACTCTTTAAATTGGTTTGATATGATTCGTTTCCAATGGTTTCTTTGTTTGTGAATTTGGTTTTTGAGGCAACTACAAATTTGAAAATATATTCTAATGCTTTTAATGATGAACTAATACGAGAGGCATTTGCTGGATCTTGGAAATTTTCAAGGTTTTTAACGACTGAACGTAAAAGATGGGTGTGTGCTGTAATACCTGTTAATGATCCATGTTTATTGGAGCTACTTAAAGGAGTACCAAAGAATTTTGAGGCATAAAGATCCAATGCTGGACGATAGTTACATGTTCTTGAATCTACCAAAACACCAATAATGAAAACTATCGATCTAAAGATGTCCATTGATAATGGTGAATCATTTAATTGTTGATCTAAAATGGAGAGGAAGTTATAGAAGATTTCTTGAAGATTACGAACTAATTCTTGTGCACCTAAAAAAGTAATATCTTTAATTAATGAGCTAAGATCACCAGAGTATGAGGCCCAATGTGAAAGATTGACAACTGATGGATTTTGAGTGAGACAGGTTGAGACAAAAGTAGTTCTAATTTTAAGAGTATCTAATTTCTTTTGTGATTTGCTAGATTTGTCGCTTTCGATAACACCATTGATATAGGTTGATACTGGAATGTCGTCAGTTGAACATTTATAAATGTTAATAGTATATTGACCATCTTTAACAATAGCACCTTCATCAGAAATGAAACGAAGATAACCAAAACCAATTGTTGTTCTTTCCTTATCTTTCTTTTCAGAGCACTGTCTAAATAAAAAGAAAAGGTGACTCTTTTCAAATGTTTTTGCAGCGACCCAAACTTTAATAATTTCATGCCATTTACATAAAGCGGAGGGAATTAGTGGTGTTTTAAAATCAGAGGTTGAAACTTGACCATTTGCAAATTTGATAGCGTCGTGTACAATTTGACCACTTTCAGCTCTAACTTGAACTTGTACTTCAATATTTTTATCAGAGAAATCACCTTCCTCAATTTGGATATACATATCATTTCTTTCGCTTCCTGGTAATACAACTTCAGGTAGTTGAAGTTTTAAGCTTGTTGTAACGCTTCTATAGTCTGGATATTCTTGAAGGAATTGTTGATAGTCACCAACAAAGTGTTGAATTGTAAATACGACACCTTTGGCTCTAGTAATTGGTTCATAGAGAGCAGTTTGTTCGTTAATAATAGTTTCGTGGAGATTATAAAAACTATTTTCATTTGATGTGGTGTTAAGAGTGATCATTAATTCACTAACACCTTCATTTGAGAGATCTAATTTCTTTACACCACAACCAACAAACTTTCTAAATTTATTACCTGATGCTGCTGTTGAGCTTGAACCGACACCACCTGCCATATTTGAACGTGTAAGAGTTGGTGAAGAATTTGGGTCTTTTGATGAAAGTGAATTGGTTTTTCTATATAATTTGGCAACTAAATATAAATCTGAATTTAATTCTTTTTGTTCTAAATCTCTAAATATAGTTCTAATTCTTTCATTGGGGTTTTCTGGTTCAACAAAAATACCGCTTGGTGGGACTATACCACAATAACTTTCAGAAATAAATTTATTTTCATTTTTGCAATAAATTGATAAAACTATATCTATATAATCACCAGACTATAAAAGTAAAATATTAGTATAATGACAAATCAAATAATTATAATTTGAATAATAGAGTAAAACTTACTGAATATAAAAAATTATTTAATGATATTAAAACTTGGGAAGAAAATTTAGTTGAAACATCTTGAGAATTTAAATTTGTTGTTGATTGACTTGCACCATTTAATAAAAACGATCTATTTTTCAATTTAATTGGGGTCATTTTTTTAGAAGGTGAGTTTGAGAGTATTGGTGAATTTAAATTTAAAGATGAAAGAGAACTATTTAAACCTGGAATAGAGGATGAGTGAGAGGATGGCGATTGAGAGGTTACAGAAATATATGAAGAGCTAATGGAAGATGGTGAATTAATATTTAATGGAGATGAAATTGCTGATGCAGAACCACCTAAACCGTTAATATTGCCATTTTGTGAAAAACCATTACTCGATGATAATTGTGATGAACCAATACTACTATTACTTGAGTTTAAGTGTGTACTTGGTGGAGCCATACCACCACTCATTGATAATGATGATGAAGAACCTTTTTTTAAAACATTTGAGAGGAAATTTTTAGAACTACCTTGTTTAATTAATTTAGATGAAAGGAAAGATCCGCCACCTGGAGATGAAGAGAATTGATTTAAATCTTTAGTTGAGTTTGAAAGTGGAGAGCTATTACCCATTGATGATAGAATATTACTGCTATGTTGTGGCGAAGATGGTAAATTTGTACTTGAATTGGTTGGTGAGGATTGGCCACTGGAAATTGGTGATTGGCCAACAGAGGAGGAGTTTGGTGATTGTTGTTGTGCTAATGTCGAGGGGGATGAGTTTGGTGATTGTGATAATGCTACATTGGTTCCATTTAATAAATTATTTGTCGAATATGAAGATGGTAACCCTATATTATGATTTGAACTATTGATATTATTTATATTATTGATTGAACTATTTGATGGGCTATTAATCTGACCATTGCTAGAATTCAGACTATTTAAACTATTTAAATTATTACTATTGTTATTACTATTACTTTCAATTGATTCAAATTCATATGAATCTCTAAAGCTATTATATTCTAATTTTTTTTCTTGATACATTGTACATAAAGTAAAAACACCAGTATTCTCGGCATCGGCTAAAATGAGATCACTAGCTACAGTTGGTTGAATATTTACACTACTTCTTTGAGAACTTTGAGCAGCACTAATGCTATATGGATTAGAAATTTCTTTTCTTAATACTATTGACATACCTGTTTCTCTTCTACCTTCATCTATAATTGCTAAAATCCTATCTCTAAGATCAAATGTAATGTCTTTAGGGGTTTTAAACTGAAGTAATTGATTTCTGAATTGTACCAATTGGGAAATTTTTGATGATAATATTTTAAATTCATTATATAATTTATTATTTGAATAAATCTTTAACAATGTTGCCCACTCTACAATAGTTGATGTAATTTCATTAATAATTGATGAGTTTGACATTTCTTCATTGGTTAAATTTCTATATTATTAAAATAATAAAATTAGTATGCATATTTTTTTTTTTTTGTTTTAAAATATAATTTATGAAAAAATTACAATTTTTGACAGATTGGAATATGGTTTGGTAATGTAGTTGGATCATCGATATCACTATGTTCGGGTAAAATAATTACAAATGATTGTGGGAAAATACCACTCTCCTGTGTTGTAACTGATACACCACTGTACCATCCTGCCGTTTGATCTTGTGAAGTCTGTGCATAAATTTGCACAAAATCGCCCACTGATAATGGTAATTGAAATTTATGTGTTGCATTAAATGGAAATAATACTAAATGGAAAATATAAAAATTAATATCTTTGAAATAAAAAAAAGCTAAATAATATCGTCTAAAAAGATTTTATCTTACCTATACCAGTTTTTGAAACATTTGTCCACTCATCAAGTCTTCTTGGTGTTGAAACTGAATGTCGATTAGGATTTGATACAGATGTCATTTTTATTTTATTTGCTATTCTATTTTATAGTTATTGTTGTGTTGGGGTTTATAAATTATAATGATTTTAATTTAATTTGGTAATATTACTATAGTATATATTTGAAAGGTTTTTTAAATTAAATTATTTTTTAAAAAAAAAAAAAAATCATACAATATAATAATATTATTATTTGAAAAGATATATAAAATTAGAAATCTGTTATTTTTGATATTGTTATTTTTTAATTAATTTGAAAAAAAAAAAAATTTTAATTTGATTAATTATTAATTTTAAAAAAAATTTTGATGTTACTATAATGATGCTACAATTATACTATACAATTATTACTAAATATAAATTTATAAAAAAATTATAAATAAATGAATAAAAAAATAATTTATATTAGTAAGGCGATTTTATTTTTAAGGATTTAATTTTTTAAATAGTTTGATTTTTATATTATTATTATTATTATAAATTAATAACTATTATTGAAAATAAAAAAAAAAAAAATAAATAAAAAAAAATAACAAAAAAATAATAAAAATAATAATAAATATATAAAATAGAAATGATAAAGTTACATTAAAAAATAAATAATAAATAATAATAATAAATTTAAAAAATAAATTTAAAAATTTAAAAAAAAATAAAAAAACAAAAATAAAAAATATTATGATAATTTAATATATAAATAAAATATAAAATAAATGGTAACAATAATAAATAATCACTATTCTATATAGAATGTATTATAGTATTATATATTTATTTTTTAAAAAAATCACTAATACCACTGTTTTGTGTTCTTTAAATATTTTTTTTTTTTTTTTTTTTTTTTTTGCAATTTTTTTAAAAAAAAAAATAAAAATAGCACAAAGGGAGTTGGTGGTGTGTGAGAGTGCATGTATGTTATGTGTGGGTGGTAGTATGTGAGTGTGAGTAAGTGTGTGTGTAAAGTACTCTTTATTTTGATTTTTTTATTATAAAATTATATATACTCTTTTCTCTTTGTTATTGTGTGTTTTGTGTGATATTTTATTTTTTTAATATTTTGGTGTACACTCTAAATATCAATAATTTTAAAATTATTGATTTAAAATTTTATGATATCAAATTTATGAAATAATCCCCCCTTAAATTTAATTAATACAACTACACTATACCATACTATACATAAATACTTTTGAAGGAATGACTGTTTTACAAAAAAGATAATAGTATGTTTTATATAAAATATATTCTATTATTTTATATTATATATATACCAAATATACATATATTATATAAATTTAAACAAACAAATAAATAAATTAAAAAATTTTGAAAAGTAAAATTATTAAAAAAAAAAAAAAAAAAAAAAAGCAAAATTTAAAATTTAAAATTTAAAATTAAAAAAAAAAAAAAAAAAATTAAACCTATTGATATATCTTTATTTATTTAATTATTTTTAATGGTATTGTTAAATTATTTTAATGTTTACCATATTTATATATGTATTATATAAATTATAGTATTAATTAACAATAAACACCCACAAAAAACACACAAATTATATAAAAATAAACAATGCACACCCTAAAAAAACAAGTGTGTGGTTATTTAACCATTTATTATATACAATTCAAATGAGACTGAGAGTTGATGATGTTTTTTTTTTTTTTTTTGATGATATATTTAGTTATATTATTTAATTTTTTATTGTAGTAATAGTAATAGTAGTGTGTGACAGTGGGTGTGCTAAAAGCAAATCCATAATAAAATTAAATAATGTTTTTTTTATAAAATAAAAAAGTGAAGAAATTAAACAAAATAGTGGTACATATAAACAAAAATAAATAAAAAATAAAATCCTC